TGTAACAGATGTGATTCTGCTATCTGTATTTGGGGTAGAAATGGGAGTTCAAAACCCAATGGAGTCAAATGTATGAAAGATGATTTATCAAGAGCTCTGTAATGTTTGGAACAATCAATAAAAAAAAAAGAAAACCTTGATTTTCTCCCTTGAGGGCAGTAGAGGTAGGAGAACCCAAAGAGCTCAGTGCTCTGGTTGATTTAAGGAAGATGAGAAGAACAAAATTTGTGAGTCAGAATGCTAGTTGGAAAAAAAATGCAGCAATGCAATGCAGGAAAAGAGTTCCAGAAACATGGAGAGGCATGCCCTTCAGCCTTGGGCTAAATTATAACTTGCACCTTCAAAGACAAAATACACAAGGGTGGATGAAATGAAACTTTCAGAGAAAGAATGTTACTAGGGAACTGTACACAGACCAATTCTTAGCATGTGAATAGTGCACACAGGGACAAATTTGAGTTCCTATGGAGCCAACATAGACATTTTTGCTTACAAGGGGCACAGAGTAGAGTCTTCTGATGGTGCATTTTCAGAGTAGGGCAAAAGGTCCTCAGAGCAGATGAAATTCTAGACTTGCCGGTGAGGAGATAACAACAAGTCTCAGAATGATTAAACCTGTCTGCAAATAGATTGCTTGACTGTCCAACAATTTCCAACCCTCTAAAAAGGAATAAAAGAAAATCTAGCACTCAGCATAGCAAAATTCAATGTCCAATAAAAAATTATTAAGTATGCAATGAAGGACCATAACAAGAAGAAAAATAAAACTGTAGAAAAGATTTTATAAACAAGATAATTGCATAAGCAGAAATCATGTTAAAATAATGCTGAAATATGGCTGCTATACTCAAAGAGTTAAAGAAAAACATGAAAATATGGAGGAGAAAAACAGAAGATGTAAAACTCACCCAAATGGAATTTCTAAAGATGACAAATACAGAATCTAAAATACAAAAACCATCATATGAAATTACAGCAGTTTAGGCACTGCAAAAGAAAAAATCTACAAATGCAAAGATATGGGAACAGAAACAATCTAAAATGAAGCACCCAGAGGAAAAACACAGGAGAAAACACTCAACTTCAGTGACTTGTGGGTCAGCATACAGTGGTCTAAAATTCATGTAATTAGAGTCAGAAAAAAAGTGGGGATAAAAAATTATTTCAGGAAATAATGTCCTCCAAATTTTCAAATTTGATGAAAACTATAAATCCAAAGGTCCAAGAACCTCAGAAAACCCTAAGCAGTGTCAAAAACCACATCAAGGCTCACCCAAATTAAATTGCTGAAAATCACTGATAAACAGAAACTATTAAAAGAAGACAAGGAAAAGATGCACTATATATAAAGAAGCAAAGAGAGAAACCACAGATGTATCAGAAATGATGCATGTCAGAAGACAATGAACATTTTTAAAGCAACAACAACAACAACAACAAAAAACTATGAAACATGCCATTCTAAAATTCTATTCTTTTAAAAAACATTCTTTTAGAAATGAATATTTAAAAAAAGAAAGACTTTTTCAGATAAACACTGAGTGTCTCAATCACCAGAAGATCTGTAAAACAAAAGCTCAAGGAAGTTCATCTATCTGGCCAAAGGGAAATAAATGAAATAATGAATAGGATCTATCAAATTTTCAACCATATAGACAGAATAATAACAATATATACAGTATCATAGTATGATATGGATTATAAATGTGATATGTTGTATGTAACAAATTATAGAAGATCACATAATAACATTATGTAGAATAGACATAATATAATGAATTAAATATTATATTTATTATATAAAATAAGTATTATATATTAACAATAATAATTAGGAGTAATAGTTTACTATTTCTGATAACAAATTACCACAAATTTAGCAATTTAGAACCACATATTTATTATTTCACTGTTTCTGTGGGTGAGGAGTCTAGGCATAGTGTAGCTGGGTTGTCTGCCCAGGATTTCACAGGCTGCAATCAAGGTTGGTCTCTCAGTAGGAGGCTTTGTTATGCAAGAACAGGCTTCCAACTAGCAACAGGTTTTAGGCACAATCAATTTCTTGTGGCCATATGACTATGGGTCCGTTTTTTTGCTAGTTATCCAATGGAGGTCACTCTCAGGTCTTAGAAGCCACATGCTGTTCTAGCAATGTGGTTTTCTCAACATATCTCTTCATTTCATCAAACCAACAGGAAGATTCTCTTATTCGGGTCTGCTTAGATAGATTCACATACAATGCAATGTAATTATGGAATTACATCCCATCAACCTGTGTTACTTGGTATAACCTAACCAAAGGTGTGACATCTTTGCCAATTCTCTTGGCTAGATGGAAGACTCAGATCCCATTCACACTCAAAGGGAGGGGACATCAGATGGTGAAAGTCACTGGGAAATCACCTTAGGGTCAGCACACCTCATTACTATTACAAGAAATCCATGTGTTTAGAGAAAAAAGTGTGTTTTGTTTTGTAAACATTCCTCCATCAATTTAATTAAGTCTTGGTAAATTTCCTGGGGAGCATCCTGTCCAAGATAAAAATCCATATGATTGTAGTATGGGATCGCCTTGTAATAAATGAGGTTGGCAATTTTAGGTAGCAAATCTTCAACGTCCTTGGGATCAGCCAAAATATCCTGTCCACCACTCCAAATGGCCGTTGGAACTTCCATCTCAGTAACGTTGTATAAAGGAGGTATGAGCTAAGTATGATGAAAGAGATGGAGAGAGGACGATAAAAAAAAAAAACTACATTATAAAAGTGACATTAATTCTCAGTTGTGAAGCAAGTTTTTCAAATGCTCAAAGTGTGCAGCTTGGATACATTTGATTCGTAAACATTAAAATGTTAAAAACATTTGAAAATCCTTTTGTCCAATGATATGCATTGTGAATACAAAATAAACAAAAGCTATTACAATCCTGACTTGCAGTTTTGGGAAAATAGGAAAGAATCCAAGAGGAAGACTTGTATTTTTGTGGGGAATCGTCTTTCTAGTTGTACTTTATCGGAAAGCACATCTTTACAAACAAAATGTTGAATAGGACAAATATCCCCTTGTCATATGCAGAAATCTGGGCTCAGTGGCATTATTGACACTTATATATCAGCAGTTTCTTTGGGGAGTACTGATAACCAATACATAAAAATAATGAAATATGAGTTTTAGAAGAAGCCAGTCTGCTATAGAGAAATAGCATTAAACTCGCTTCAGCAAGTTTTTCCTTACCTTCTTTTCCTGTGCTGATTCAACACAATCCCAACCAAGTGACTAGGTCTGGTCAATTAATCTCTCATTCTTCTGGCCACAGAGATTGAATAATAATAACTTGGCATATCACTAAATCTGTATCATAGGTTAGTCTGTAACTTTCTTCCAGAGCTACTGAGAAAATATTAGATTTTTTTCTGTGGAATTCCGATTGCTAGAACTATATAAGCTAAATATATCCAGTAACCCTCTTAGCACTCTGTTGGAAAGAGTCTAACAATAGAAATAAGCATCTCAGATGAAAGTTGAGAGAGGGAGAGGGAAAGATAGAGAGGAAGAGCAAGAGAGAAACGGAGATGTGGTGGTGTTTAAGTTCCTGGGTATTGCCACTTAACTAGTACTTATGAGTTCAGTATGTAGTACTATTTTTAAAAAAATATGAAATAGAGTTGGTTTTGCTAATTACAACTGAATAATTGTCTATCAAAAATAATTTCTGATTACTATATGCTGTGTACTGAATGGTATCCTTTCCAGATTTATATGTTGAAGTCCTAACCCCCAATGTGAGAGTGTGTGGAGATGCGGAGACAGGGCTTTTAGGAGGTAATTAAGGTTAAATTAGGTTATAAGTGTGCATTCCTAACTCCATAGAGTTGAAAATCTTATAAAAAGGTAAGGATTCTCTCTCTCCCTTTCTCTGTCTCCAGGAGCAAGAACAAAGGAGCACACATGCACCATGTGAGCACACATTAGAGAGGTGCCATCTGCAAGCTAGGAAAAGAGCCTTATGAGAACCCTGCCATGCCCATGCCCTGATCTCAGACACCCAGCCTTCCAAACCGACAGAAAATAAATTCCTATCATTTGAGTCACCCAGTGTATGGCATTTTGTTATGGCAGCCCTAATTGAATAGTACACTAATTTGTGACAGACTAGGAGGAAGAGGTAAGAAGGACAAAGATATAGATTGTAAGGAAACTGTGACCCTGGCCTGGAGGAGGTTTCTCAGAACAACAGAAATGTGCCTGGAGGTGACTGTACCTCAGGTTCTCTTAGGAAAGAAAAATTGAAGCAGAGCCCTCTGGTATAGTAGTCACATCAGGTGTTTCCATCAGTTAATGGGTTGCTACCTGAGTCTTTGCATTACGATATAGTTGTAAGCATATCCTGCTTCCCTATAGTTTAGGAGCTTTAAGAACAAGTGGTAGATGAGAATGTGTAGTTTTGAGAAGGCAACACAAAGGGCAGAGAAAGAAGTGAGTACATAGCCATGACCAGGGGTGTGGACAGGGAAGATGGGTTCCAGAAATCTCGGCAAAAGGCCCTAAATGCAAAGTGCACTGATGAATGAAGAGACCTGCTTGTTCTGACTGCAGTTTTCTTGACAGTCAACTATAAAGCATAAATATGTAAATGCAAAGATGTAGAATGTTGAAGAATAGAAAAACAAAGCATTACAGAGGCAGCAATAAACACCAGCAAGCTTTGAGCCACAGAGTGGGTCTGAGAGTCCCTGAAATCAGAACTCCTTCACTCCAATGATTTAATTACTTTGCTAAGGATGAAAGTGGATGTCCAGAAAATGTCAAAGCCAAAATGAACATCAAAATTTGGATTTAAGTTATATGTGGTATATCTTGGCCAGGAGTATTTTAAAATTTATTTTTAAGTAGATAATTAAAAATTGTATGCAACTATTAAAAATGAGTGACTTTCTTAGAAACAAAGGATTACTGGTGATTACATTGGTAATTGCACCTGCCAAATTTATGCTGTTATTAATTACAGCTGTGATTAAGGTTATTGCCTTTTAAACATGTATGTAGTTCATCTTCTGCTTTGAGTTTTCCTTCACCCACCCAAAGTTCCAAGCTAAAGACCTATATCAGAACCTGAGTCACCATGCAGGCATAATTATGATGGTATCTGCAAACATAATGATAAAGCTAGTGCATGCTACCCAGCTTTCATCCAAGCAGGTATCAGAGTCTTATAAGATAAGGTCATTATCTAAAAGGCTTTTCCTCAAGAAATCATAAACTCTTGCTAGGACAAAGAATTCATGAATTATAAGAGAAAATAGCACTCTGACATAATAAATGTGAGGCATCCCAACCCAAGTCTCATGCACTTCTAAATATAGCAGCTTAGGAGAAAAATCAGATTTATCACACTAGTTGAAATTATAAATATTCACTATTATTATTTTTGTGGTGGCACTGAACATTGCTGTTTTAAAAATTTCCAAGCTTCCACATCACAAATTCGAAAAATATGCATACTTTGTTCAGTTTGAGTTTAGTCTACAATCAAGAAGCCAAAATAATTAGTGGATTCCCTTACATATACTGGGGAAAAATAGCAATAACAATAACATATACTTTTTTTACATAGAATATTTTCTTTTAATATGGAATATTTTCTCTAGAAGTTTCCATAGGTTATTTCAATAAATATTTTTATACACAATTCTCTGGCAGATAGTGCCTTCCTAAGGGTGATGAGTTTGGTTGATATATCTTTAATGATGCATGTTATGTAGGTTTTTAAAAGTTGTTAGTAAATGGCATATCAAAAACTATTAGAACAAAGTTTATTCTATTAGAAATGGAATAGAAGTTAGAAAAATATGCTTTAAAAACAAAGATTGTGCTTTTGTTTTTTTTGTTTTTAATACCAGGGATTTAACTCAGGACACTGAGTTAACACTTAACAAGTAAGCGACATCCCAAGACCTTTTTATTTAGAGACAGGGTTTCACTGAGTTGCCTCTGGAAAAAATGACAATATTATTTACCTTACAAGATCATTGTGAGAATGAGAAATAATGACATGACACATTGACAAGACCCAATAAACAGCATGTGATAGCAACAATGAGCAATATCCATGGTACTGAATGGGAAGTAGTAGGTACTTAGGAAGTGGATAATATTTTTATTAATTCATTTTCAGTATGTCACTGACTATGATTATTATTATTATACCTGATGGAAGTGCATCATGTTCTGATCAGGCTGTCCCCAGTCAAAGGCTTGAAACTGACCAGAATTAACTGCCTATGATAAAACAAAAGTAATAAACACATTGAAATGATATAAGAAAACAGGGCACATTAAAAGTTAGCAAGCGAAAGATTTAAAAAGAAGACTGATATTGCAACTTTTAGCCAAATTTCAATAAGTCAGTCAAATAATAAAAATAAATACAAATTCACAGAACTTACACAAACACTTCCTATCTTGAATTTTTCCAGTGACAATTTTCAGACAGCAATGCCTTTAAAGGTTACAATATAGCACATCAAAACAGTTTTAAAGGCTGTCAAAGATGTTGAATACCTTGGCTTCAGGAATATACATACATATATATCTATATCAATATCAATATCTATATATATCTATATAAACATATAAAATATATATGTATATATAAATATATGTATATATACATATATTTATGATTTGGTACATATTTGATATATATATATTATTTGTATATATGTGGCTATGATTTGGAGATATATATATATCTCCAAATATATATCATATGTATGTGTATATATATATATATATATATATACACATACATATGATTTGATTTGGATATGAGGAGTCTTCCAAGAGATTCTAAACAATACAGGACTATTCAGTGATGAAATCATTAGATTATGAGAGCTGTAACTAACCTGTCCAACCTGAGAAGTTTAAATGAACTTACTAGGTGGTAACTGTGGGAAGTTGCCTGTAGTTAAAGGAGGTAAGTCACTAGGAGTGTGCTCTGAAGGGATTCATCTCTCCCTCTTTCTGCTTTCTGGCCACTCTGAGTGGAGCAGTGCTCCTCCACCACACCCTTCCATCATGATGTTCTGTTTAATCTTGAACCTAGAGCAATGGAATTAACTGACCATGGACTGAATCTCCCCAAATTGTGAGCCCCCAAATAAACTTTTCTTTCTTTAAATTGTTCTCATTGAGTATTTTGGTCACAGTGACCAAAAAAAAAAAAAAAACTAACACAAAAATTGGTACCAGAAGTAGGGATGTTGCTGTGACTAACCTGACCATGTGGTTCTAAACAATTCCAAGCCATTGGTATTGGTTTGTAGGAGGAGTTTGGAAAGGTTTGGAGATGAATGGTAGAGAAACTTTAGGATATCATATATGGAGGTTAATGGGGGTGATTCTGGTGGAAGCCCAGAAAACCAGAATGCAGATTGTACTGTGCTCATGAGGTTTCAGAGGGAAACAAGGATTATATTGGGAACTGGACTAGAGGCCACTCACGTTACCTTCTGAAAAAGAACTTGTCTACATTTGGCCTTTGTCCTGAGACTTTGCATGAATCTGGATTTAAAGGTAATGGACTAATGAATCTGGTGGAAGAAACCTCAGGACAGAACAGCATTTAGGCCATGGCATGGATATTTCTGGCAGCATTAAGCCAAGTTTACTGTGAGAATAAGGATCAAAAAACAGAGAAGGATTATTTAAAAAACTTGCACTTTGGCCAGAAAAGTGCATGTAAAACCAGGGCCATGGAAGTCGTGGTTATTAATGATATTATAGTTGCTAAAGAGATGCTAAATATTTTGCAGAGAGGCACTAAGAAAGAGGGCTTGAGTGCATCTCAGGAATTGAAAAGACCACACCAATTCAGGCTCAAGGGTATAGAAATAAAAATTACTTTCAGAAGCAATCACGGAGGCACTCTTCTCACACAGGGAGCCTAAGAAGTTGTTTTATCATACTCAACCACCCAGCTAGGCAGAGGACATTGAAGTAATAGTCCAAGGGGACTTAGTTACTGCTTCACTGGTAGCAGACCTTGGCTTCATTCACATAGTGCTGGTTCTGCAGTAATTCAGGAAGCTGAACTTAGGTAATCAAGGAGGCCTCCACTGAGATTTCAAGAGAAGACCTAGGAGGCCAGGTAAAGTGTATCAGGGTTGAAGTCCTCATGGGCTTTCCCTGAGAAGACAATGCACTAAGCTCTGAAGGTGAAGCCAAAGATGGAATGGAAATCCTAGGAATTAAAAGATGCCCCTAACATGAACGGACTGCTGAGGAAAGCTGCTAGCTGCAGAGAGGGGTCACATGGGCTGCACTTGGCAAGGGGGAAAGGATGAAAAGGGACAAATCTTCCCAATCCCTTCGGACAGATTATCTCAGTGCTATGTACCCCTGATACCACGGATAGCACGACAGGATTTGTTGGACCAACTGGTTTGGGCTGTGTTTTAGTCCCAGCCCTTCTTCCTATGCCTCATTCCTCCCTTTTGGAATGTGAATGTTTATCCTGTGCCATTGTATATTGAACATATGTAACTTGCTTTTGATCATTATAGGGACTCGGAGTCAAGAGTTTGCCTTGAGTCTCAAATGAGACTTAGACTTAGGGGCAATTCTGGCACTGTTAAGACTATAGGGAGTCTTGGAGAAGTACTAAATGTACAGAATGCATTTAATACAATATTTGAAATCTAAACTCCAAATGCAAAAAAAAAAAAATAATCATGTGGAGTGTCTCAAACACTCAGGGCCTGGCTAATTTGATGAATAGTTTTAAGGATAGGGAATGTAGTCTTAAGAGCTTAGACCACTTGATGAAGATAATAAGGTATAAATGAACACAATGCATTTAGCACTGTGGGATGGACATCAACTTTTGGGGGCCATGGGTGGAATGTCATGATTTGTATATGAGGTGTTCACCAAAAGATCCTATATTAATCCAAAAACATTCAGGAGTTAAATGATTAGATTATGAGAGTCATAACCTAATCTGACCATCCTAGTTTAAATGGACTAATTGGGTAGTAACTGTATGCAGGTAAGTTGTGGCTGGAGGATGTTAGTCACTGGGGATGTGCCCTGGAATTGTTCATCTTCCCTAAATACCCTTTCCCTCTCTTTCTGTTTCCTTGCTGCCCAGATTTGAATAGCTTTCTTCCACCACATGCAGTAGCCATGATGCTTAGCCTCACCTTGGGTTCAGAGCAATAAAATCCGAAGACCATAGAAAGACCTCTGAAATTGTGAGCCCAAAATAAACTTTTTCTCTTCTAAATTGGCCTTTTGGGGTATTTTGGTGACAGCAATAGAAAACACAATTATACATATACATGTTTTTAAATGGCACCAGCTATACATTTCCAGCATTAAAAAAATCTATTCCTGTTATTAAACAACTTTGCACCTTATTATCTTCATCAAGTTGTCTAAGCTATTAAGACCACATTCCCCATCCTTAAAAAATTTTGTCCAATATAGCCATGGGATAAGTGTTTGAGACACTGTGCATAATAACTATTTATGCATTTTGGTGTTTAGATTTCAAATAGAATAGAAATATCCATGCATTCAGTACTTCCTTTTTCTATTGTTTGTCACCCCTGTTGGATTGAGGAAGCAGATAATCTGTTAAGACTATAGGGAGTCTTGGAGAAGTACTAAATATACAGAATGCATTTAATACAATATTTGAAATCTAAACTCCAAATGCAAACTCACATACATTTACCTCAAGCACTTCATTAAATGATCTTCAGACTACACTAAGGGTTTTTTTCTTAGCTTGAATTTTATATTTTCCATCCTCCTTGATTTAATCCTGATTTTTGGTTCAAACTTATGCCCATCATTGCTTATATTGATGCAGGCAGCAATTTGCTGCTATTGAAATCTGCAATCTTTCAGTAAGGAGAGATAATAGAATGTACTATTTAGAGACTTGGGCTCTAGCATCAAATGAATCTGGTTTGTATTCATGTTTAATGGATGACTAAATTCATTATCCAGGACAAAATATTTGTGAAATGACAATGATAGTGACATTCTTTTCATAGGACTGTGAGGATTAATAGGGTACTGTATATAAAGCATGTGGCACCTAGTAATGTTTGACAAGTAGCTATTTTTGCTAATATATGCAAGTTGTAACTTCAATGAAATTCTTGTGAAGAAACAGAATCAAAATTTCTTCACATTTCAGGGTTTTTCAGATGTTGGAATATTTGCATAGACATTATCAGATCTGATAATTCTAAGTCCAAAATACGCCAAAAATCCAAAACTCTCTGGGCACAAGTTTTAGATTAGAGATGCTCAATCTGTGACATCATTATGATCATTACCCTTGACCTAGCTGTCTACCTATCTTTCAACCAAATATTTTATCTACACCACTATTTATTTCTACCTTAGAAAAAATTTTCTGTCAGAGTTCTCCTTAAGAGAAGTCAACTGTGAGATGTATAATATATCTAATGACAAATTATATATATATATATATATTATATAAATCCGCCTATATTATATAAGCTATCATGGCCAAAGGATGTAGTGGAGGGCAAATCCTTCAATGCATTTCAGAAAGCCTCAACCAGTGTTTCACACTATCTGTAAAAGTGATTCTCAACTCGAAAGTAAAGAACATATTTATTAGTAAGTAGGTTGAAATGAAAATTCCTGGGACTCTCTTTTTCTCATACACCTCACACACACACACACACACACACACACACACACACACAATTCTCGACTTAGAAAGATACAACAAGTGAATTTGGCTTATCTTCAAGGCTACAAAATATTGAGTAATGTAATAAAACAAAAATTTTAACTGAGAGTAAAAATGCAAGCTATCAATCTATTTAAATCTTTCCCTAGCATATTTTTTTCTGCATTAAACATTATTTCTACACTTTAAAATGTCCCATATGCGGGGCCGGGGATGTGGCTCAAGCAGTAGCGATCCTCAGCACCACATACAAAGATGTTGTGTCCGCCGAGAACTAGAAAATAAATATTTAAAAAATTCTCTCTCTCTCTTTCTCTCTCTCTCTTTTAAAAAAAAATAATAAATAAATAAAAATGTCCCATATGCCAACTGGAGAATGAACAGATCTTTTCTTGAAAAAAAAAATACAATTCTATTATAAAGGGTGATTTCCAAAAAAGAGTAAATAAAAGCCTTTCCTAAAAAAGGCAACATGCAATAATTTAAGGGTCAGAACTTGGTATAAATATGTGGGAATCAGTTTCATACCCCAGACACTGAAGACAGGAGAATAGAGAGGAGCAAAGGAAATCTAAATGAAGAGTTAGTGCTGATTTCAGAAACATCAATGCAACAGTGGCAGTGGCCCTGCAGTGAGTTCCCAGGGGTACTCTTAGGGAATCTCACAAACAGGTATGGATGCATTAGTCAGGGACAGGAAATGCATACCTGGGCCCAGTGCAGCATGTTCTGAACAGATGTTCCTGCGGGGCTCTGTGCCAAATAGACATCCAAGCGACTCTGTGAAGAGACAATTTCTCATCTAGAGACTAATCATACCACAAATGAACATTTGTGAGAAATTCTATAATTTCTTTTTTTTTATTTTTGTTGTTGCTTTTAATATTATCATTTAGGGGAAAACACATATACCATACCCTATTACCATATAACCAAAGAAGCCTCTTTAAGCACTTTCTCCTTCCCATAGCTGTTTCTTTGCTCTGAGTAGTGACTTCATGTGGCCCACAGAGGGAATCGGACTGATTGAAGACAGAGGTAAGGCACCTATCCTTTCCTGACTCCTCACATAGATCAAAGAGTATAGAAGGTCAAGGGATCAAAAACCTTAGCAACCTTGTCCTTCTCCCTGCTAAGTCCCAAAATTCATTCAGAGAAAGCTTTGATCACAAAACACTAAGAATAGATATGAATGTTTTCTTTTGTTTGCTTGATTTAAAACAAAGTGTTAAATGTTTCATGAGGCTCTTTAAAAATTTGAAGGACAGAATTCATTCAATATATTTAGATTTCTTCTGGATCCAAACAACAACAAAAACCCACTATATTCTTTCATATTTTCAATTACATTTTTTATAAAATAAATGTTATTCTGAAAGAGTTATTTTTCTATCAAAGTGAGCACTAGAAACATCTTGTAGCTTTAAAAAATATATACACTTATTGATAAGCTATTCAAAACTACTGAATAAAAATCAAAATATCTAGAGTTTGGGACATGTTCATTTTTTCAAAATTCCATAAAGATTACTTACTATGTACCCCTAGTTATGCTTCACTAAAACAAACAGATACTTGCAGATACTGTAATAATGCATAATCCAGTCCCTACAGTGAAAAAAAGGGTGATATGATTATGTGCAGAGACAACAAGAGCCTCCAATGAATACACAAAAGTGTTTTTTGGTAAAGTCTTTCTTTATCAAATTCAACCAAGTTAAGAGGCTACTTTAAAAATTACTGTGTTTTGTGTTTATTTCTAGGTCTTTTTACTTAGCTTTGCCTACATGTCTTCATCAACATGAGATGTTCCCCGTGATAACCAAGCATAGTTTCCCTAGAAAATCGAGACACTAAAAGAGGAGTGTACAAAGGCAGTGGCTCAGTCATGCTCTGCGTAGAAATCCTTTTATGAAAGTCTTAACTGCAAGGAAAATTTTAATGATTCTGGCAGAGGACAGTCAGGCTCTGGGCTAAATCTCTGAGATAAACAGAGACCACCTATATCTCTCTTCCTCCTCTGGTTTCAAACAGCTCCTCTCCAAGTGAGAAGTAAACTAACTTCTTGTCTTTCCCCCTTTTGCTCATCAAGTCAGTTAGTGATAACTGAGGAAAGGAATCTCAGTTGTTAGAAATAACCTGACAAGAACCCCAACACCAATTCCTCTCAGTTTCCCTTGAACACAAAAGCTGTACCTGTCATTGAAGAGCCATCCCTTTATTTCATTTGAGTGTTCCACAAAATAATCATTTCTAAATCACCTTTGAATGTGGAAAATTGAAAAAAAAAAAGATGTCTAGAATCACTTCCTGAGATTTTACTTTACTTCAGTACATCTGAGATGTAGCTCAGGAATAGCAAGCTAAACTTCAAAACCACAGCACTCGCCTAACTGGAGGACTTTTTATTTGTGACATTTTTTAGCCAACACCAAGAGTTGGTGAGAAATTTTGGCAGCAAAGCCTTCTTCTCAAATCCTCCTATGAGAATGGGTAAGATTCCCAAACTTGGTTAGAAGCCATGAACATAAAAATTACATTCCAAGAGACAAAAAGGAGACCTTGAAATGTGGTTTCTATGTAACCCAGAGTAAACTCCCATCACTTTGTTGCAGTAAAACCATTGTTTTCTGAGACTTGACTACTTATACATACCATGTTTAGGTTTGGGAGATCAACTCCAGTTACAGTGAACATGAAGTTGCTGCACATATGATGGAATATCTTCCGATTGCACATTTTGGTGGCAATAAATTGTTCCATTAATGTGTGAGGGGAGAACATTTTGTCACCAAACAGTGCCTGTAAAACATGATCAAATTTCATGAATGTGGATGTCAAGAGTGGAAAATGAATGGCAATTCAAACAAGCACTGGACAGGAGATGATATCAGTTCAGTGTTAATGCTCAATGAAACCATGAGTTTTGTTAAATTTTGTCTTTGTAGTCCTCCCAACTCACCTCTTGATGTTTTTTCCCCCCACAAATCTTTAATTGGGAAATATTTTGGCAGGCTCTCCGAAAGACCAGTTCCCATATAAAGTTGGTACAGCTTTGGAGTCAGGTATATCTATGTTTGATTCAGATTCTGTCTCTTATAATTTAGGAAAGTATTTTAGTTTTTATTACCCTGCATTTTTCACCTATAAAATGGGAAAACTTTTATCTACTAGGTAGAATAATCATAAAGATAACAGATAATGCTTAAAATACACCTTGTGTAGTTCCTAGCAGCAAACAATAGCTCTGTTATTATGATTAGTGACTGATACAAGTTAATGAGCCAATCCTTCCAGAATCTCTTAATGCTTAAAATGCTTAAAATGATTTCTTCTAATTATATTTCAGGCAAAGTTGCGAGTGAGTTAAATGGACCTTATGAACTTCCTTCATATCCCTGTGCATATTAATACAATATTTGTTTTATAATATATAATTTTATAATCTTAGGGTAATAAAATAAGTATTATGTGAAAAGACTTTTTTTAACCTCTTAGAATTTTTGGAAATACCATTTACAGAAAAACTGGCATTTCTTTCTCCTGAAACTCTTTACTAACTGGCAATTATAACTAAAAACCAGTAATAACTGGCATTCATTATTTTTTTATTCCACTAATGTACTACAAAATTTTATACTATCTTTGGTAAACTGGATCCAATAAATTCTTACTAGGTATAACTTTAACTTGTTGAATTCTGAGTTTGAAAATAGTTATATTGAGGGTTTGTGTTGAAGGATTGGAGGGAATTCTTATTTAATAGAATTTTTGATATATTATGAAATTTTAATGTAAAATATAAAATACTAGGAACTGACTAATTTTTCTGTCCATATTAAAGAGAAAAAGAAGAAAGGAGAGAGAGAAGGAGAGAAAGAAAGAAAGGAAGAAAGGAAGGAAGAAAAAGAGAAAGAAGAGGAAGAGGAAGAAAAAAGGTGAAGAAGGAGATGAAGGAGGAGGGAAGAAAAGGAAAAGAAGGCAAGAACTACAAAATATCACACCAGTTCATATTTCTTGATTCTTTAGGTCTGGAAAACAATAAGAGACCATTGAAGATCTGATCAAATACACTTTGACTTTTTCTTCATTTTGTCATAATTACTAGGAATCTTGGATAACATGTTGTCATCTATTCAAAGTTCTCAAGTGTAACAACTTAAAAAAATAGCTACATGAGTTAAGAGCTGAACAAAGGGTAGGACCTAATTTTAATCATTGAACATTTTTATTTTTCATTTACCAATACTGTTTCCATGCTTTAAAAACTAGATGTGAAAAGAAATAGTCAATACATAAAAGTAATCAACCATGAAAATTTGATGTGAAAGGAAAAGGTTATACCTCCCACAATGCACCCTAAGCGACTAACAGTTCTGGTAGTCAGCTTTCCCCAACACAGGGTTAATTAGCAGGATAGTCTCTGACTTGACTCTCCCCCTATATATTTACCCAAGGACAAATAATTACTCCTTCACCCTAACCTAAAAGACAGGATTGCAATGCAGGCTAGTAAGACAGCACTTCCAAAGTGGCAAACATGCTAACTTGCACTTGTAATTCCAATTTGATTCTGGAGGGGGCATGTTTGTCACATAATAGTAGGAAGGCAGATGTCCTCTGGTGAGCATCGGAAAAGTCACCCTCTCTTCTGGAGACATGGTTCGACGCAAGGATACATGACTTGCCCAGCAGAACATGGACTGGATTCCCCCATGTGCATGGGAATATGAAGAACCAGGACTGATTTCTTCAATTTGGCATTGAAAAAGTGGAGAAATCATTACATATAAGCAAACACTGACCTTGAGCTGCCTGATCAGATCTGTGCTCAAGTTTTGGCTCTATCACCCAATTAGCCGGATGACTTGAGACAGATTGCTTAGCCTCACTGAGACTTAGGTTCTTATTTTTTATGTTACTTTTTTTTTTTGGTACTGGTGACTAAACTAAGGGGCACTTGATCACTGAGCCGCATCCTCAGCCCTATTTTGTATTTT